CCCTCCTCCGATGCAGCCGCAAGCAGAAGAGACGAGCTCGGCCCCTCCAGCCCCGCATCCATGCCGTGCCGGCCAGTCCGGTTCTGCCTCTCTTGCTGCAGCTCGCATGTGCTTATTATATTTCAAATAATAGAGGAGCTCGTGCAGTGTCCTCGACAATGGGGTTTTTAACTGATTAATTTACAGCGTGAGAAGCAGTGGGTGTTCAACTCTGTGCTATTCCTGGGGCTTCTGACAAGCTGCTCCAGGGGCAAAGGATCCCGTGTTCAGAGCTTCTTCCATTTTCTCTCTGTAATTTCAAAATCAGTGTGTGCTGCATATGAGGAGCTGGCGGCTGCGTGTCGCGTCTGTAGCTGTATCCTCCAAGACAGCTTTAAATACCTGTGTCTCATTTTCCCACCAAATCCACCCACAGCTTTGCAAACGGCGGCGGCCGGCTTTCACACGCGCTGCAGTTGCCTGCGTCTGCTGGCGTTAATCCCGCTCCCCGGAGCCGCTGCTGCAGCCCATCGTGTCCGGCTTGCCGGGGAGCTGCACCTGTCCCACTGCCGCAGTCACCATCAGTACGCACGTATCCCACCTGCCTGCGATACAGGAGCAAGTAGACCAGAGGGGCAGCGGTGGCACCTCTGGGGTCTCAGGTGCAGAGGCTGATGTGTTGGAAAGGTTTACTTACACTCAAGGGTCTGTTTCCCAATAAATACTCGTTGGCAAAAAGCAGGTCCAAGCTTAATTGCTACTTTGACCCCATTCCCCCATAACGACACAAAATAAACATATTTCTGCTTTGGAATTAGAGAGGGTGGTGTCCTTCTCTTAATTTGAAAACAGATGTAAGTTCTCGAAAGCCCGTTTTGAAGCTTTCCGGTTTGAATTCTGGATGTGCTTCCCCTCGGCGACTGCTGACACGGATGAAAAGCCCTTTGAAGTGCGTTTTGCCACCTCCCGGCAGGCTCGCAGCTGCGGCTCACGGCAGTCCCCGCCCCCCGGGGCCCCGCACCCCCAGCCGCGACCAGCACATCCCATTGAACTTCTTCGCCTTAGCCTGCAGCCCGTCCGCTAGCTCTGTGGGCCACAGCAAACCACGCACAGCTTTATCTTAAGTAAAACAAAACCTTTGCTCTCCTCCCACTGCCTTTTCCTTTGTTTGTCCTTGATTTTCAAAAATTATTGTGTTTTCATTTATGTTCTTCGAAGAAGCAGGGACGGTTTACATGTTGATCCACACCAAGCAGAGGCAGGCTGGACTTGGAAGTGCTATGCCAGCCCTGCCTGGTATTTATGAGCATTTCAGCAAGTCAGTCAGATAATGCATGCTTCATTTCCCATCTCTAGGGAAAAAAAACCTATTCTCTCCCTCACCATCAGACAAGCAGTGAGAAATGGTTAATCAATGCCCATTGTACTATTCCCGCTCCTTGGGTGATAGGGTCTCCAGAAACACAAGCCATTCCGTTTTCATCAGCAAGAAATTAAAGGGCAGTTGCAGAAGGCCAGGAGGCAGGCCCACTCTGGGTGGGCACTGCACGCCACGTGGGGCCTTCTCTGACTCCCTCTTCTGCCCCGGGGTTGGGGCCCTCCTGGGCCTACAGCATTTATTGTGCAGCCACCAGCTCTCCGACTACAAAACCTTCCGAACACTCCCAGGATGGGTCTTGGTGCAAGACTCGGACCGGGGCTGCGCGAGCGAAACGCTGCCGTGGGGCGAACACCGCACCGTGCAGGCGAACACGCCCGGTGCGGAAAGCTGGGCAGCCAAACCCGGCCAAGCCATCGACCCCCCCCAGCCAGCACGTTAAAGGCCTAAAAGCAGTCAAGCATCACACAACAGGCGAAATTTAATACTGAGACTATTCATCTCCAGCCATTTCTAACTAGCAGAACAAAACAAACTATCTAGAAAAACAGGAGCGTTACAGTTAAAAAAAAAAAAAAAAAACCCTATTGCAATTAGAGAGCAATTAGGGATCTCTCCTCTGGGAACATTTTGGAACTCAGGGTCTTTCTCAAAACCTGATCGCTCCCTGCAACTCTATTTCTTTCCAATTAATAAATGCAGAAGTGAACAGCACAGTTTCCTGGACGCCTGCAAAACGCCACCTTCCTGCTCTGCTCGGGAGCGCAGAAGGGCACGAGGTGGTGGCAGGTGGAGACGTTTGCGCCGCCAAGTCGAGGAGAAACGTGGCTGTCAGCAGAGCAGAGTGCAAAGGCTGCAAGAGCAGGAATCACAGCATGTTCCCATTGCAAGGTGACCGCAGCACAAGGACCAGCCCGAGCAAGGATCCACGTACGACCAGGACATGCGTTACCCTGGGCTCCTCCCCGGACATCCAGTCTCAGTGTGAGCCTCTCAGGGCCCCGGGGTCCCTCGGGCTCTCCCGACAGCAGGACACCCAGTCCTCTGCGCTAGGGATGCCACCGAGACGAGGAAGCGAAGCGCAACACTGGCAGGCTCATTATCTGCACAGCAACCAAATAAAACCCATTTGCTTCCTACTCACAATCCCCCAAGAGCCATGGCCCAGAGAAGTGTGCACTTAATTCCTCTCAACTTTCACTCACTCTGCCTACCTAGAGTTAAGCACCTAGTTTACCAAATTGCCCAAGCACACTCAGAAAGGAGCAGGAAGCCCTCTGGGTGTTTGTCTCCGCTGCGTGCTGCGTCCTGGTCGGGGCACGAGGAGCTTTCGGCAGCCCACGGCGGCACAGGTGTCTCACGAGCTGCCGCCGCCGCTCCCACCTCCGCCAGCCCAGCAAGGCTGGGGCGGCCAGCTGGGGCACAGCCTTCACGGGACGAGAGGGGACAGCGAGTGCCACTGCCTTGCAGCCCCTCACGCCCAGCGAGCTGCAGCATCAGTGCTCAGCCGGGGGCCCAAGTGCCTGAGAAACTACAGAGAAAAAGAAATGAAGGGGCCAAGCTGCGACACCCCACTGAGCCAGCGTCTCTCCAGTCCCACCCATGAGCTGCCTGAAGGTC